TTTTCTGCTCTAGAGAAGGTAAAACAGTCTCTGGGCTAGGGCACGACAGGCAGAAATGAGAGTGGGGACCCAACCGACACTGGGAGATGAAGAATGCTTACATCTTGAATGCTGTCCAACCCTCTTCCTCCTCCTGGCTCCTGGGTTGCTGGCAGCCTGGCTTTCAGTTTCTAGCCAGGAGATTAGAAGATCTTTCTTTGAAGGGTTTACCAATCCAAAAGGCGGGACTAAAATCACTGACATGAAGAGTTACACAAGACAACAGCTCTGCCAGATTCTATTATGGTAACACACATAATAACCCACCTACAGTTTTTAACTGTCTCTTAATATGAGCCAACAGCCCAAAATCCTCAATATCTAATATGGTTCTATTCATACAAGTGAGTATCCCTTATCTGAAATGCTTGGGACCAAAAGCATTTCAAATTTTATCAGATTTCTTTGCATCTAAATACTGGCTGAGCATCCTAAATCCAGAAATCTAAAGTCCAAAATATCCCAGCAAGCATTTCCTTCGAGTATCATGTTGGTGCTCAAGAAGATTCAGATTTTTAGAGCACTTCAGATTTCAGATTTTTAGATTTGGGATGCTCAACCCGAATGGCAAAAGTATAGGGATTTTGCAGATGTAATAAATGCCCCTAATCAGGTCACTTTAATCAAAAAGGAAATTTACTAAAAGGGCCAGGTTTAATCAAGTGAGCTCTTCTTTTAAAAAGTCTAGAGATCAGAGACAGAAGTCAGAAAAATACTCTCCCCTCCTGGCCTCCAAGAAGCAAAAAGCCACGTTACAAACTGATTGTGAAAAGGGTGCCCACTAGGAGCTGCAAACCTCAGTTCTACAACTGCAAAGAAATGAATTTTGAACAACAGGACTTGGAAGAGGACCCTAATCCACACATAAAATCCCAGCCCTGGCCGACACCTTGATTGTAGCTTTGTCAAACCCTGAGCAGAGGACACAACCAAGCTGTGACCTGGAAAAGCTCAACTAAGCTCCTGACCAACAGAAACTGCATGATAAGTGTACTTTGTTTTAAGGTGCTACATTTGTGTACTTTGTTACACATCATAGAAAATGCAAACCTGTGTGCTAAAAAGGTACATTTTACTTTATGGAAATAGTACCTCAATAAACCAGACTGGAAAAAATATAATGGCAGAAATAGAAACCTCTATAGTGAGGTTTCAAGATAAAATTGAAGAAATCACCCAGAAAATGGAATTAAAAAAAACAGAAATGAAAAAACAGCAGAGAAAACATTAAAAAAATGAAATGCTTGGCCTATGAGGGTCAATATCAAAATATTAATAAAAGAAATTTCTGAAAGACAAAAGAGGAAATCATGAAAACTCAAGAAAATTTTCAGAACACCAGAATATGAGTTTCCACTTTTAAAAGTCTTAGCAAGTGCCCAGTAGAGGGAAAAAAAGAAAGAGAGAGAAAACAAACAAAATCCTATAGGTTTTTAGTTAAATTAACAAGAATCAGGAGCCAAAAAGGCTTCATATCTTTTTATCCCCCTTGAGATAGGGTCTCACGGTGTCACCCTGGGGTAGAGTGCCATGGCATCGTCATAGCTTACTGCAACCTCAAATTTCTAGGCTCAAGTGATCCTGCCTCAGCCTCCCCAGTAGCTGGTACTACAAGCACACACCACCATACCCAGCTAATTTTTCTATTTTTAGTAGAGATGGGGTCTCACTCTTGCTCAAGCTTGTCTCGAACTCCTGACCTCCAGCAATCCTCCCACCTGAGCCTCCCAAAGTATTAGGACTACAACCTAGTACTAGCAGCAACCGTACCGGGCTGCTTCATATTTTTAAGAGCCACCCTAGAAGCTAGAAAACAACAAAGAAATAAAGAAATTTTGAAGAAAAAAAATTCAAACATGCAATTCTCTACCCAGGCAAGGTACCGATTAAGTATGACTTTAGGAAAACCCTTTTCAGACATCTACTGCCCCCCAAAATTTACCTCCTATGCATTTTTTCTCAAAAACCTACAGGAAGATGTGCTCCAAGATAACAGAACAGGAAAAGAAAATTATATAGGGTACAAGAGATAAAAATTCCAACATGGCAGAGCTGAGGGAAACCCTAGGACAACAGCTGCGAACAGCAGGCAAAAAGGACAGCACTCCACTGTAACAGGTCAGGACTCAAAAGAACAGCCCCCACTACAATATATCAGAGGACTCAAAAACTGGTATCTTTACCAACTCAACTCAAGAGAAAGCGAAACGCTTTATAGGTAAGGAAATACAAACAGAATATACAAGAACGCTCAAATATCAATATAATTTACAGTCATAATATGTAAAAACCAAACATTGATCTAACCAATAGCACAGTTTGTTTTAGGAGGATGGGTGGTAATTTTTCACCTTCCAAGTAAGAAGTCAATAGATAATGCCTATACGTGACCATAATCCAGAAATGAACATGTTACTTCAAGAAATGGAGTTAAATATCAAAATAATTAGGGTGAAAAAGTGGTTCCTCTTAGAGAAAAAAATGAAGAACAGAAAGAAGGCAAAAGCCTTATTTTTTCCCTATAAGCTTTGTAGAAATTTGACTCTTTAAACTACATTGTATGTATAACTTTGAAGGACCAAAAAAAGATGAAGGCTCCGGGGAACCTCACACTATCTTTTCAACCTCCTAAACCAGGCGTCCTCAAACTACAGCCCGCGGGCCACATGAGGGTGGTTTTGCCCACTTGTTTTTTCACTTCAAAGTAAGATATGTGCAGTGTGTATAGGAATTTGTTCATAGTTTTTTTTAAACTATAGTCCGGCCCTCCAAAGGTCTGAAGGACAATGAACTGGCCCCATGTTTAAAAAGTTTGAGGACCCCTGTAACCAACTGATAAGCACTTTCTACTTTCAGAGAGGAGGAGGGGGCAAGATGTCTTTTGGCTCTAGAAGAATTCACGTAAGTTTTTGTTTCATCTTAAAAACTAATTCTTGCTTTTGTAACTTGGAATCATTAAAAGTATTTTCTCAAAATAACAGCAAAATATTAATCAAACAATCTTCTTTTTTCTTCTTGTTTGATAGGGTATCAAGTTAGCAAATGCTCACTATTACTTTCAAAGAACTATCCACTGGCTTCTCAGATACCTGAGAACCTGCCTTTAAGAGGCAAAGGCAGAAAAAGATATCACAGGGTTAGCAGCCCCAAAATGATAAGGACTTCATCAAAACCACCTACGTAACTTCCCTTTTATTGTTTTTAAGGAAAGTGATTCTTCCCTGCCATCAAGTAAGGGTCATGCATTAGCAAAAATGGCGCTCTAAATAAACCATCTCTAACTCAGAAACTTTATTCTGCTTGTTCAGAGTTAAAGGACATATCTCTCTTCACAAAATACAGCATTTAAAACAATATAAGCAAAATCATGTTGTAAAAATTTTTACATAAAAATTAAAAAGAGTTTCATTAAACATACTGTCAGAACCAACTTGTCAATGACTTGATTACATGAAAATCAGTGTTTTCCAATTGAGGATTGTAAGGATTATACAATATAGTCTTTGGCAACTTAAAATCCTTTATGCTTTATTCTGAGACCGTCCTTCTTACTTTTCTGTTGTTAAAATGTAATTTCTGGTACATCACATAGAAAAACTGTTTTGCAAATATCCACTGAAGTTAAACAAGATGTATAACAAGCCATCCCAAGTACTATCCACATATCCACCAAAAGATGTGTAAGAAAGTTCAAAGCATCTTGATTCACAGCAGCCATAAACTGGAAACTACTCAAATATCTATCAATACTGCAAAGAATAAATAAGACTGTGGTATATTCATATACTGCAAAACTAGGCAATAATGAGAAAAGAATGAACAATGGAAAAAGAAAGCAACAACATGAATGAATTACATAGATATACTGATGAGCAAAAGAGTTCTGACAAAAGAGTACATTATATATGTATGATTCCTTTCACATAAAATTCAAAAACAGGTGCAACTAATCTAAAGTGACTACAGTCAGGCAGAGGGGTCTGAGAGGCAGCATGGGGAAACCTTCTGGAACAAGGAAAATATTCCACATCTTGATATGGGTGGTGGTTACATGGATATAGAGGAAAAAAATCAACTTGTATATACTTAAGATGTACATTTCACCATATGTAAGTTATACCTGAATTAAAAAGCTGGAAAAAAGTTATGAGAAAATTGGGAAAACTTTTTATACATTATAGTTTATTTTATGAAATCTAGGTGATAACAGATGACAGGAATTATTTTAATATCTGTACTTGCAAAATAACAAGTTGCAACTCTATAGTGATGCTCCCAAAGAATTTTTTCCCAGCTTTTTATTTTGAAAAAGTATATACCTACAGAAAAATTAAAAGACTAGAACAATTAACAACCATACGTCCTTCATCTACATTCACAAATTGCCAACATTTTGCTATAGTCATTTCCTCTCTTGGTCTCTCAGTTTTGGCTGAAGTATTTGAAAATAAGTTGCTGACATCATGACATGTCATCCATAAAGGACCTTCTCCTATGTAACCAAAGTACTATTATCACACCCCCAAAATTTAACACTTATGTATTATTTAATATTTGGTCCATATTCAAATTTCCCCAATTTTCCTGAAATGTTCTTTATAGATTCCTCCCATGCCCAATCTAGAAACCTATCACAGATTCATGATAGGTTGTCCTTATTTCTTGAGTCTCCTTAAATCTAGTGTACCATGTTCCACAACCACTTTTAATTTTTTTATTATGTTTGGTCTTTTACGACATTAACAGTCTGGGCCAATATAGGTATTAAATTTTCCTGGTATATGAAACCCAAAAGTCTGCAAATAATTTGCATCTACTTAGTGCCTTCTATAATCTTTTATCACCACATTAGTAATCAAGTACTTTTATCCTGACAAGTCTTGATGAAGCCATTTATCAAATACAGAGACAGGATATTTCAATATTTACACTTAGCTTATGATCATTCTGCTTTAACTTACCGCTGAGTGTGAGCAGGCCATGGGGTCTGGTTTGGCGTGGGCACTGAATTTGTGGGACTCACGAGCATGGCACTGTAGATATTGGAAGCAACCACCAGAATGCAGAGGAGTATGGGCCCAATGATTGCTCCCTCCAGGCCTAGGTAGTATGCTCCGCCAGCCACTGCCAAGCCTGTCAGGTATGGATGGCCACCTCTGGAATAAAGAGTACACCAATTAGTTCATGACTGTTAACATACATAAACTGGAGTAAATCTGAAACATGTTTCTAACGCATGTTCATTCTTTAATACACCATGCTTTTTATTACATCATCAGTTTTCTTTAGCTTAGCTCAATGCAGATATAAATGAAGACTGACTGTAATAGTACTGAGATGCAACAATTTTCTTGTCCACGCACTAATGAAAGACTGCTTCTTTTTATAGCTCCAACAAGTGAAAGAAAAAAGTCAGCAATATTAACAGATATTTTGTGGCCACTACAAGTGGCTACCTGAGGTGAGTTAATGTTGGCTTAGGACTAGTCATAAGACACCTGTTAGGTTTACCTCCTTCTATCAAGCATAATTAAGTGGACACAAGTTAGCATGTAAACCAGTTAACTATGCTTTTTATAAGACAACAATAATAGCATCTCTGTTACTCATAGGTGGTACTTCTGGCAACCTCCTAAAATACACTTTTTAACACCGTAAGGATAAAAGGCCTCATAAGGAAAATATCTACCACAAAGCCCAAGATTTTTATCTCACAGGAAAGTCACAAATACTCTCCATCTTATCACAATATCACTTATATAGAGTAAAATAAGATTGACTATAGCAGCACAGCATAATGATAATAAGAAATGACAATGACATAAGAGGGACTGAGAAATATGTCATATTCAGTTTGTTTCCAGTTTTTAAACACAGATGAGAACAATTTAGTGAGAGGCAAATAACAAAATACACTGGTAGGATATTATATAACAGTCTAATTAAAGTAACACTTGTGGTGAGCCCATCTTCAGGAAACCAATACATTATATTCCTAAATTATTTGTCTTCCTCATTACAAAAAAGAATTTAGTGCAGTACTTCATGTATACTAGGGAAGTTTTTTACCTAAACAATATTCTTGAGAAAAATTTCTATCAAACATACTTAAAGTTTAAAAAAATAAAGTGGGGACTTTTAAACAAAAGGTTATTTTAAAAATAAAACAATTTATGCCAAACATTTCCTAATGATGCCAGTTAAGTAGTTTAAGATAAAATCACATATATTTTAAATTCTACCTGTAAACTTTAAAATTTATAGCAAAGTTTAAGGAAATCAATGCACTTAAGTATAAATTGAATACCTACTTCTACTGCTCAAATTTAAACTGTTAAACACTAGCTAACCATGCTCTGATGTTCTCCTTTTTAATTTTAGTTTTTTCCTCTCAAGTTTTATACATAAAAAGATCTCCTCAGACTGGCTTATAAAGTTGCTTGTTTCTTTTTGTGCTGGAACTTTGGAGCTTCAGATTCATTCTAATCAGTTATTTTTTTAAATTAACTTACCAGAGAGAAAACAAGGTGGCATACAATTTGCCTCTACATTATTTATTTATTTGTTTGTTTTTAAAAGAAAGGGTCTCACTCTGTCACCCAGGCTGGAGTGCAGTGGCCTGATCAGAGCTTACTGTAACTTCAACTTCCTAGGCTCAAGTGATCCTCCTGGTTCAGCCTCCCGAGTAAATAAAACTACAGGTACGCGCCACCATGCTCAACTAATTTTTTTTTTATTTTTAGTATACACAGGATCTCCCTGTGTTCCCCAGGCTGGTCTTGAACTCCTGGGCTCAAACAATCCTACCACGTCATTCTCCCAAAGTGCTCAGATTACAGGTGTGAGCTATCACACCCAGACGGCTTCTACATAATTTAAATTAACTGAAAGGTACTCTTTATAAACTTACAACTCTATCTATTCTACCTTTAATTTACCTAAAGAAAATAGAGTGTATTAACTATTATGACAGTTTCATTAGACCATATTCTGAATTTGAATAACATCAAAATTAAACACTCATGCCTTGTAAACAATACTATTTTAAATTAAAATTTCATTATATCAGTAAGAACTCAAAAGGCTACTTTATTGAAAAATTCTACCACTAGTTGTCTCACCCACTCCCAAGAAAAAAACAACTCCTAAAAAAAAATCCAACAGAAATACCTGGATAATTTACCAATAACTTCAGAAGTTCTGTGGACTACTTACCCTGATATATCAGAATAGATTGCAGTATCTACAAAGTATGTTGGCAAAAGGTGAAAAATCAGCAGTAAAATGGCCTTGCATCCCAACCCTTGTGTCAGCCACAGGTCTAGAACTGCAGGTATTGCTGCCCAATACGTCCCCAGAAATGGCACTGCTCCAAGGATTGCTGCTAAAGCTAAAGAAAGATTAAAAGAAAAAAAGCAACTTATCATCATCAACAAAGCAATAGAACCTAGGCAGTACCTCCTCCTACTTAAAAATTTCTACCAAAACAAGGCCGGGCTCCTTGGCTCATGCCTGTAATCCTAGCACTCAGGTAGGCCCAGGCGGGCGTATCGCTCAAGGTCAGCAGTTCAAAACCAGCCTGAGCAAGAGCAAAACCCCGTCTCTACTAAAAATAGAAAGAAATTACAATTGGTGAACTAAAAATATATAGAAAAAATTAGCCGGGCATAGTGGTGCATGCCGATAGTCCCAGCTACCTGGAAGGCTGAGGCAGTAGGATCGCTTGAGCCCAGGAGTTTGACGTTGCTATGAGCTAGGCTGACACCATGGCACTCTAGCCTGAGCAACAGAGTGACACTCTGTCTCAAAAAAAAAAAAATTCTACCAAAACAAGTTAACAAATACTCACAAACTCAAATTGCAGAAGAATGATGTAGCCTGTTCAACTAAATTTTCTAGTTAAATAAAAGTTTTTTTTGAGACAGAGTCGCTACTTTGTTGCCCAAGTAGAGTGAGTGCCATGGCATCAGCCTAGCTCACAGCAACCTCCAACTCCTGGGCTCAAGCAATCCTGCTGCCTCAGCCTCCCAAGTAGCTGGGACTACAGGCATACGCCGCCATACCTGGCTAATTTTTTTTCTCTATATATTAGTTGGCTAATTAATTTCTTTCTATTTATAGTAGAGACGGGGTCTCACTCTTGCTCAGGCTGGTTTTGAACTCCTGCCCTCGAGCAATCCACCCGCCTCGGCCTCCGGGAGTGCTAGGATTACAGGCGTGAGCCACCGCACCCGGCCTAAATAAAGGTTTAATACCTTAAAACTTGATACTGAAAATCTAAAGTGTGTGTCTTCTTTATGGATATGTTCTTGAGTATTAAATAATAAAATTTCAGTGTTCTGCAGTTGTTATTCTGGATCAATGGTTAATACAGTCATATAAATGTAGCTGTAGAGCATGTATCAAAATTTGTACTGAGTCCAAAGCCAAATCTGAAATCAGTTTCTAAACCCCAGATATGAATGTATATTCTTTACCTTGCTTTCTCCTAGTAAAAATGAAATGTAATTAAAAACAAACATAACATCTCTGCAAGCTGAAAGCCCTTGCTTCAAGCTCAACCCCTTGCAGAGCACTATATTCAATCAAGTACTCTCTCTCTCCATCTGGCTTCTCTCCAGAGTACAAGTCAAGCAGACCTGCGTTCTAGTTCTGGTCCTTCCATTAGTGTGACCTTGGAAAACCTTGGCTTTTCATCTACAAAACAAGAACACCAGCTACCCTGCCTGCCTCACAGGGAGCTTGCATATCAGCAGGTGGGGTAGTGGACACCACAGTAGGAAGGAACATGAGTGAACTTGGGAACGTAAAGAAGGAAGCACAGACGAAAGGGGGAGAGTGGAAATAGTGGTAGAGGCAAATGCGGAAGGCAGAAATATTTAGAAAAACAAGCAGCCACAGAAATAAAGGAAAAAAAAGTGGAAGGAGAGGAGCAGAGATAATGTAGAGGAAACAAGATGGATATTAAACCATCTGGTGCTTATGGAATGAAGGTATCAACAGAACAGATCCGGAGACAGCTTATGTGCGCTCAGAAGCATTCACCTTGCCCATGGGATGGTATCCCTCATGGGTAATATGGGTACTGCTCCCTGCCAATCAGTTCAATTCAAACATTCATTGAGCACCTAGCTGTTATACTAAGTGCTAAGACATTCATTCACTTAACAAATGCTTACGCAGTGCTTTCTATGTGCTGGGTATGAACCCCGCTACTGGGAGTACAGTAATAAACAAACACATTACAAATCATATTTCTGCTCCTAATCTGGACTAGATTGGATCTTGAGCCACAAAATTTAGTATTTTAAACCTGAGGAAACAGATCATTTCCTAATGTATGTAAATTGGCTTAACTTTCCTTAAATAGAAGACAGTGGAGGTTATGATATGGTTGTTACCTGATGGTATGAAGACAATATTGATGCCAAATATAGTATGAGTCAGCCAGGTATACAATCCATAGAAGCCAGCCATTTTGAGGGAAGCATCAAACACCCCTCTAGAATGCCAAAAGATAAAATAAAAAGTAAATAAACACAGTATCATATTGTGATTCAGAAAAAACTTATACTTGTAGGCTTCTGGCCACTTCATCCCAAATCTGGTAATAACTTCAATTTTTCTACTGGCCTGAGAATGCTGTTTCCATTTTATTCCAAAGAAATCTGAAGACATCATTTTAAATCTTGGAATATGTTCAGCAAACTGTTCTTTAAATTTCTTTCTGATGAAAAGATAACTGAAATGAAAAACCCTAGAATACCGTATTCACTCAAATAATTCACCATGTTTTCACTTCTGATGTAGGTATTTCATCACCAAAATAGATGAAAAGAAAATTAAGTGTGAATAATACTTTACCCAAGGATAAAGTTAAACTCCAAAAAACCCAGGCTGTGGCCAGCCCTTCCCTTTAGAAAGAGCAAGTAAGGGATGAGCACAACATATAATTCATCATCATTTCTTCTCTCGTGAACAAAATTTTCCCACATTTCTTTAGGTAACCAAACATACAAAATAAAATAATATCCTCTACAAATGCTAACAGAGCATTCAGGTCATTGGAGAAGAATTTTGGGGAAAAAAGCTTTATGGAAAAAAACTCCAAATACAAAAGGGATTAAACAAACACATATATTCAGTGATTAATACAGGAATTTAATACATGAAAATCTGTAATATCAGGTACTTTGTGTTTGCTTTTCAATTGGAAGATTAATAAGGCAGCACTGTGTGAGGAGGAGAAAAAAGGAACTCTTCAGAGAGAGCACAAAGGCAACAAACCCTAAGTAATCCCAAGGTACCACAAAATTATAAAATTATAAAAACCAGGATTCAGCACAGGGGCAGGGAAAACACTCTCATATACTCACGACAAAGAAAAGCTGAAATTGAAAAAGGAGCAAAGGTGACATATATGCAATAAGAAATAATAAGCATTGCTCAGGCATCCCAAGAGGTATACTATAAAAGCAAAGTAAAGCTTTAGAAACTAGTGATGCATTTAATAGGGCTCTGAGACATGGATCTGGTGACATGGTGTCTGCCCAGTTGTGAAACCTTGTCATCCTGACCAAAAGCCTTCACTAGAGAATGTTGTAAAGGCACCATGTGACCCTAACAAGGACCTAGATTAAAGTGGTATCAAAAATACCAAAAGGAAGGAAGATATCCCAAGGAAATATAAAGGACCTGAACACAAACTGAATAGAGGAAACAAAAAAAAAAAAGAGAGAGAGAGAAAATGACAGCTTCAGGTTTTAAACCTAAAGGGGAAAGATTGGTGGTGTGAGAAAGACATGGAGAAAGCCAGATGGAAAGGGAATGGAAAAAAAGGGAGTAAGTTCAGTTTAGGCTATGGCAACTCAAAAAGGATGATGAAAATACCCCAGAGGTAGCTTAAATAAGAGACAAGGCTTAATAGAGAACTCAGAATAAGAGATCTGAAATGCACCAGAATAATCATAGGAAAAGATAAGATATCCTAAAGGGGCATGCATAGAGAAGATGGGGCAGTAAGTTGCATTCTCATAAGGGACCTAAGGACAAAGACATATCAACCAAAGAGATAATGAAGTCATTTCTGTAGCAGGAGGAAAATCACTGGAGTGTGGTATTCTCAGAAACCAAGGGAGAAGGAAGATTTTGAGAAGGAAGGAATAACAACATCAACAACCAAAGAGAAATAGAAAGAAAAGTATGGAACTTGTCTAGAACTAGGGAGGTCAATGAGAGAAGTTATAGATGTGGTACTTTCTATTATTTTTAAATTTTCAAGCCAAAAATAAGTAGACATCAAAAGTACAACAGAATATTGCAACTGAATCAGCCCTCTGATTGGCAAGTAAGCAAAGCTCAATCCCCAAAGGATTATTTACATGAAACAGCATAGTCTTCTTTCCTCTACCTCTGAGAACACCAGTTGTTGGTAATATTCTCATCAAGGCAACTTTTATTATTTACTTACTTACGAGACAGACTCTGTCACCCAAGCATTCCAGCTCAATCATAGCTCACTACAACCTCAAACTCCTAGCTCAAGTGATCCTCCTGCCTCAACCTTCGAAGTAGTTTAGGACTACAGGAGTGTACCATCATGCCAGATAATTTTAAAGACTCTCTTGTAGAGACAGAATCTGTTCATGTTGCCCAGGCTCAAACTCCTGGCCTCTTGTCTCAGCCTCTCAAAGTGCTTGAATTACAAATGTGAGCCACTGCACCCAGCCAAGGCAACCTTTAAATAATTTGTGGACCCTGAACACACTGTATTGTTTGCAATTACTAAGCATGTAACCCAGTGAAAGATGAAAAGCAATATACCCCCCCACCTCATCACTCAAGATCTGGCACACAATCTTTATGAAACAGCAGAGAAAAATCCTCTAACAGTTAACTCAGAGATATAATTTTTTAACTTTCTCAAATTCCTAGCAATATTTTTCTTTTGGATACAGAGTCTCGTTCTGTTGCCTGGGCTAGAGTGCCATGGTGTCAGCCTGGCTCACAGCAACCTCAAACTCCTGGACTCAAGCAATCCTTCTGCCTCAGCCTCCCGAGTAGCTGGGACTACAGACATGTGCCACCAAGCCCGGCTAATTTTTCTATATATTTTTAATTTTCCAGCTCATTTCTTTCTATTTTTAGTAGAGACAGGGTCTCACTCTTGCTCAGGCTGATCTCAAACTCCTAACCTTGAGCAATCCTTCCGCCTCGGCCTCCCAGAGAGCTAGGATTACAGGCGTGAGCCACCATATCCAGCCTTCTTCTTTTTATGTATCAGCTTTATTGAACTATAATTTACAAATAATAAAACTCATGATTTTTTTTTAATGGAAAAGTTCTATCTTTTTTGTTGTTGTTGTTGGGTCTTATCTTTTTATTTTTTTTTATTTTGGCATATTATGGGGGTACATTTTAAGGTTTCAATAAATGCCCTTTCCCCTCTCCCCCCACAAGTCTGAGTTTCCAGCATGACCATCCCCCAGATGGTGCACATCTCACTCATTATGTATGTATATACCTGCCCCCCTCCTCCCTCCCCCCTGCCCAATACCCTAAAAATGTGGTAAAATATACATAGCATAATATTTACCATCTTAATCACTTTTAGTGTACAGTTCAGTAGCGTTAAGTATATTCACTGTCATCATGTAGCTTTTGGTGTTTAGTTTCTTTCACCTAGTATAATGCTTCTGAGCTTCATCCACACTGTTGAGTATATTAGCAGTTTGCTCCTTTTTATTGTTGAGTAGTATTCCATTATATGGACATACCACCATTTGTTTATCCATTCACCAACTGATGGGTATTTGGGGTATTTCCAGTTTGGGGCTATTATGCTGCTATGAACATTTGAGTACAAGTCTTTGTGTGGATACATGCTTTCATTTCTCTTCTGTAAATACCTAGAAGTGGAGATACTGGGTCATATAGTGTCTATTTAACAATAAACACTAGCAATTGTTTTGATCTTGCAATTCAGACAAAATTAACAGTCCATAGATACCAACATAGAAGTCGCTGCCACCTACATCACACCACATCTCCTCCAGATGTGAGGTCACTCCACACTTATGGCATCATGCAAGTGAATACTGGCAGAAAGAGCAATTCAATTCATTAAAAGCTAAATGACAATGCATCTGAAGACCCTAGTGATTGACCCAGTGCACAGTAGATGCTCATTAACAGTAGCTATTAGAAAATGTGGTGTGTGTATATACATACACATACACAAAACAATACTATTCAGCCTCAAAAAGGAAGGAAATCCTGTCATTTGCAACAGCATGGACGAACCTGAAGGACACTATGCTAAGTGAAATAATCCAGGCACAGACAAATACCACATGACCTTACTCATATGTAGAATTTAAGAGTTGAACTCACAGAAGCAGAGTGATAGGGATAGGGACAGGGGGACAGGAATGTATAAAGGGTACAAAGTTTCAGTTAGGATGAATAAGGTCAGGAGATCTACTATACAGCACAGTGATACAGTTAATAATAACATATTGTATACTTAAAAACTGATGAGAGATGTTAAATGGTCTCACAACAGAAATGGTAAGAATATGAGATAATTGATATGTTCATTAGCTTGATTTAACCATTTAACAATGTATACATAAATCTAAACATATTATACACTGTAAATATAAACCATTTCTTAATTTTTTTTTTAATTTATTTTTTTAGAGACAGGGTCTTGTTCTGTTGCCAAGGCTAGAGTGCAGTGGCGTGATCCTGGGCTCATGCAATCCTCCCACCTCAGCCTCAGCTTCCAAGCACCTGAGACTACAGGTGTGCACCACTGTGCCCAGCTAATTTTTTCATGTTTTGTAGAGACGGGGTTTCACTCTGTTACCCAGGCTGGTCTCAAACTCCCAGCCTTAAGTGATCCTCCCACCTTGGCCCCACAAAGCACTGGAATTACAGGCATGAGCCACCGTATTCTTTCCCAGGCCTGACACTCATGACCTGCCCTAGCTGATTGCTGGGGGCTGGCCCCAGGAATGCTGATGAGCCCCAAGGGTCAGCTGCACTAATTATCCACTAATTGTGGAAGACTCTGCTCACCTCCCCCATTTTAAACTTTTTAAACAAACTTTTTAAACAGGAGGCCAGTTCACTGTCTCTCAGACCGTTGGAGAGTGCGCACTGTGGGCCCGGGACAAGTCAGCTGCTAAGCAGGACAGGCAGCCGCGGCAAAAACACCCGGAGTTTGAGGACGCCTGGTATAGGCCTATACATTTTTTATTTGTCAACTATACTTTATTTTTTTTTTTAAAGAAGAAAAACAAGTCAAAAAAAAAGTCGTAAGAGATTCTGGAATTAGATAGTGATTGATGATGGTTGCACAAATTGTGAATACACTGAAAACCACTACACATTGTATACCTCACAATGGCTAAAATGGTGAATTTTATATAAACTTTATCTCAATAAAAGAAGTTGTATACAAAGAGAGAGGCAGGACAGTTAGAGTCAGGGAAGGAG